CCCGCGCGCACCTTCTCCTACCGGTAAAAGCGGCGGCGGGGCCTCGGGCTCGTCCTACCCCTCCCAGGAGTCCGAGCCACCGCCACCTGCACCCCGCCCCCGGGAGAGCGGGCTGTCCAGCTGCCCCTGACGCGTCCTGAAGGGTTACCCGCTTTGTGTCCGGAGCGGGTACGGCGGGGAGCGGCGTGTGCCTGCGGGATTTCACAAGAGAGTACGAGGGCTGGACACCTGGAGCCCAACGGCTAATCCCCGAGGCGGAATCTGCTCCCGAGAATAGACCGGTTTGAAACGTGAAACCCGAGCGAACTTCGCCTCTTGCGCTTTTCTCCCTAAGATGTCAGCGTATCCCCCTACACCGCCGTCCGACCTGGTGCCCCGGGGTGATGGTGTGGGTGCGCCTTTGGGCAGACCAGGGTGAGCGACAGCAGGGAGGTCATGGAGACCTGGGTCAAGTCAACACACTCCAAGCACAAAGCCGAAGGCAGGAGCAGGGGCGTGGGCAGAGGGGAGCTGAGGATAAAGCTCTCTCGGCCCGATCAGGGGAACCTTTCCTAGGCACGAGAGGTGGTTGCGTTTTGTTTAGGGCCTCAGCCCGGGAGGCCGTCCTAGTCTCCCTCTAGCCAGGACCAAAAGAGACTTAGCAATCAAAGCAGCCGCGGAGAGAAATGGGAGTGGGGCCCCGGCCGCGTCGCGCGCGGTGAGTAACCGCGTTCAGGGATATGACTTGGTGGCCTGGCGTCCAGCCCCGGGAGCCGGGCTCAGCTGCTCGCGGGGCTCCTCTTCCGAAGCCGGGCTGCGCGGCGGAGCTGCGGGAGCGTGCGCCCAGACTCCGGCGGGTACAGGGGAGGGCACGAAGCACTTCTCCCGTTGTTTGCACTGAGAGGCGTGGAGAGCTCGGGAGCGGCTTTTCCGGGGTTCGGCAATTGTCCCCGCCACCTCCCGGCTGCCGTTGGCTGTCCCTCCCTCCGCGGCTCGCCCGCGCGGCGTGCCGCGCCCTGTGCACCCTAGCTCCGGGCCTCACCTCTGGCCTCCTTTGGCCAACCTGCGCCTGGCCTTTTCGTCTGACCCTTCAGGACTTTCTGCTTGGTCCCCTACAGCTTGGTCTTTCTCCGAGCCCCCCACGCCACTTGGTTACCTAAGTGGGGAACCCCCCGCTCCGCGACTCCGCACCCTTTACCCCTCACCCTTTTCCCGTCTGGCCTTGTAGCCTCTGGGTGACCGCC